AGGATCACTTGAGCCCAGGAGTTTGAGGTTGCTGTGAGCTAGACTGACGCCATGGCACTCTAGGCCGGGCAACACAGTGAGACTCTGTCTCAAAAAAAAAAAAAAAAAGAACTATTTGTTTTGGGGCAAGTATTTTCTGTACACACACAAAAATAATCCTGGAAAAAAATACTAAATAAATTATGCACATTACATTTTTATTGCTCACTCTATGCAAATGATAAATACAATAATCATATCACCACAGTTTTTGAGGTTTTCTTATTATTATATTTGATAAATATTAAGTTTTCCTGTTACAAAAACATATTCTTTTGAAAATTTGGCTTCTGGATTTTCTGCTGATTTTGCCTTTCCTCAAATAAGTTTGGTGATTCTGAGAGAAAAAAATAACATGAATAAAAATGGGTGGCTTTGCATAAATTTGGAATGTACATATATTCTCCTACATAAACACAAACCGTTGACATTCTGTAAATATGAAACCAAAATGCAATGTTGAAAACTATTTGTTTCTAGAAAGTATACCAAATTCCCTCCTGCTAGTATGTTCTCAACAGATATCTAAGAACTACATTGCATTAGTTCACTAGGGCTGCCAAAACAAAATACCACAGACTAGGTGGCTTACACAACAAAAATATATTTTATCGCAATTCTGGAAGCTGGCAGTACAAGGTCAAGGTGAAGGCAGGGTTGATTTCTTCTGAGACCTCTCTCCTTGCCTTGCTAATGGCCACCTTCTCATTGTGGTCCTAGTGTGCTTTCCTCTGTACACTCAAACCCCTGGTGTCTCTTCCTCTTTACATAAAGATGCCACTCCTTTCTGATTAGAGACCACTCATGTAACTTCATGTGACCTTAATTACCTTTCTAAAAGTCCTATCACCAAATCCAGTCTCATTGGGGGTTAGGGCTTCCACACACAAGTTTTGTGGGGACATGGTTCAGTTCATAACGTAAATTTTTACACAACCAAATACTATGAAAATCTAGCAAGAAAATGGCAAGCTGTGGGGCTACAACAGAAAATTTTTTCTTTAAATTAAATTATTACACTTTGTACTATTCTTCATGAATTCTTAAT